CCTGAGGTATAAAGACAATAGCTAAGATAATCTTGGAAAATATCTTTTAGGGAACTTTTCACATAAGCCAATCAAACAGAACACAAAAGACTTTCTACTCTTCTCTTTTTCTATTAGCATTTAGTGAATAGAAATTTGTTGGACCAATGAAGACCCTCCTGACTACCTTTACTGAAACTTGTACCAATCCAATGATTGTCAAAACGTAGGATCACAGTTTCTAGCCAATCTGTGAAAAAGGCTAAGCTTTCAGTGGTTTTGCCTATTTGTAATGTTATTATATAATGATGGGTCTGTAACTATTCTTTGGACTTGGGCAGACATGGCTGTGGCAGCATGCTTGTCCGTTTTCCCATTCTTGCCTATTCTGTAATATTCTTTGGACTCGGGCAGACATGGCTCTAGCAGCACACTTGTCCGTTTTCCCACTTTTGTCTCTTCTGTTATATTTTCTTGGATTTGGGCAGACATTCTAGCTCTGGCAGTATGCTTGTCAGCTTCCCACTTTTGTCCTTTTTGAATATATGCTGAATAAAACTTTCTTTTTGCTTTCCTAGACTTTATGATGTTTTTCCCCTACAACAGACAATATGGGAAATAAGAACACTTGAGTAGATATTTGATTACATTAAGAAATTACAGTATTGCAAAGTACAGGTGGAGCCCTGATAAAACCAGTTTGACTGAGTCTTAATAATTGTTGAAGGTGGGTAATGGGTCTATTGGGTTTGTTATACTATTTTCTCTACCTGAGTATGCTTCCAAAATAAAAAGTAAAAAACAAAAAACAGCCTCACAGAGCTACTACCTTTCACCTATGGAACTGACTTGATGGTGCCTGACAACAACCTTTCACCTACTAGATAACAAATTTGATAACAAACACGTTTGTTAACAGGTTTGGTGCTCCCTGGTGTGGGTGAGGCCAGAGTAAGAGGCCAGTCTCAGGCTCCATTAGGGCAATTTAGCAACTCTTTTCAAATTGAAAGGCTCACCCCTCTCTCAGCAATATGCTGTCTACACAGAACTCTGCTGGATGGGATGTGATGTCTGTCCATGTAATTCACTGTGGCTACTTCACCCCTGGAAGCAGCAGTCAAGAAATCAAAGGATGTATTGCATTGGGCAAATCTGCTGCAAAAGACCTCTTCAAACTGTTAAAAAGCAAAGATGTCACTTTGAGGACTAAGGTGTGCCTAATCCCCCCACCCCATTACCATGGAGTTGATTCAGACTCGTGCCTGACCCAAGCCATAGTATTTTCAATTGCCTCATACGTATGCAAAAGCTGGATAATAAATAAGGAAGACCGAAGAATTCTGGTATTGGCAAAGAATACTGAATATACCATGGACTACCAGAAGAATGAACAAATTTATCTTAGAAAAAGTACAGTGAAAATGTTCCTTAGAAGCAAGGATGATGACACTTCGTCTCAGTACTTTGGACATGTTATCCAGAACCAGTCCCTGGAGAAGGACATCATACTTGGTAAAGTAGAGGGTCAGCAAAAAAAAAAAGGAAGACCTTCAATGAGATGGATTGACACAATGGCTGCAACAATGGGCTCAAACATAAGCAATTATTGTGAGGATGGCACGAAACACAGCAGTGTTTCGTTCTGTTGTACATATGCTTGCTATGAGTTGCAACCTATCAACAACTTCATCCTTGAAGAGAAGCCCTTCCATTGAGCAGTGAGAAAGTTCTACCAGTAAAGGTGTGGGAAGGTCTCTCTCCCAGGAAGTGGAAAAGCCCAGCCCTGGGAAAGGGGGAGGTTTGCTACCATTTAGGTGAAAACTAATGGAGCACGCACACATTCTTTCTTGGGTGAACTCCTGGGCTGTGTGTGGGGACCCTGTGGAGGGACCAGGACTGGGTGGGACACGAGAGGGTCGGCCCCACCACTTGTGCGCTCTTACACCTTGTCAAATATTCTTTCTGAACTGAGTCTAATGCAAAATACTTTCAAAGGAAAGCGGCAGGGAAGCCGGGCAGATGTTCGTGCTTAGGAGTCAGAGGTGAAGCAGGGTGGGGTTGGCAGTAGGGCGGGCGGGGGGAGGCGGGGCACTTGCCGCGGGCGCAAGTCTAAGCGGGCGCCAGGAGCTGCGGAATGACATTCGGAGGCGCCACAAATATGAAAGGCGCCTGACTGAGACAGTCAGACAAGAGAGAGGAAGGCGTTTCTGCTGACTGAGTCGCAGCTATCAACATCTATTCATCTTGACATTGGGGGGAGGGACGCAATTTAGAGATTGCCCCTGGGCGCTCGTTACCTTCGCTACCCTCATGCTTAGAAGGTCCCCTCGGCCTCTCAGAGTCCAGTCCGGACTGAAGCCCCTCAAGGGTGAGCTATGGAGGAGGGCTGAATGTGGACGACTCCTGGGCAGATTCTGGAGTCGGATAAGAGTATTACGAGTGGCGAGAGAGGGTGGAGGAAGTGAGGGCGCCCTCTGAACAGTGTCTGCATGGCCAGAGCTTTTGCTAAGGGCCGGGAGGTCGTGTCCTGGGAAGAGCGGAGCAGGCACAACGTACGATCATCTCTGCCCTGGAGGCCACCTGTGCCCTCTCCCCACGCCAACGTGTAGGGTGGGAAGAGGGACAAAGCAGGCAGCCTCCCGGACCGGCTCTAGGATCCCTCGCCCCGGGTCTTCTCTGTGTCCGATTCCTCGATGTTGAATTAGAATCAGTAACCTTGACTGGGGAGCCCTGGTGGTGCAGTGGTTAAGAGCTTAAGGCTGCTAACCCAAAAGTCGGCAGTTCGAATCCACCAACCGCTCCTTGGAAACCCTATAGGGCAGTTCTACTCTGTCCTCTAAGGTCGCTATGAGTCGGAATCCACTCCACGGCAACCGGTAACCTTGGCTGGACTTAAGCGCCGCTAACCAAAAGGTTCGAACCCACTCAGCGGTTCTGAGGGAGAAAGACCTGGCGATCTGCTCCCATAAAGATTAAAGCCAAGAAAACTCTGGGGGGGCAGTTCTATTCTGTCACATGGGGTCGAAATCCACTCGATGGCACCCAATAACCACCTTGGCTGGGACTCCTGGGGAGGGGGAGACAGCGGGTCCCGGCGCGCGCCTCTCGCTTAAGGATGCAACAGACTCAGAGCTCAACAAACGGCGGGAAGAGGTATTATTATTACTGTTACTGTTGTTCTTACTCTCCGGCAGAGCCGGCTCCAGCTACAATACAAGAGGGAAACGTACCCCCCTGGCCCCAGGCTGCTGACCCACCCGGGCGCCCCTCGGTGGGGCTCGCCCCTCAGTGCTGTGCGGCCTCGGGCAACCCCACCCTCTCTGCGCCTCAGCAGGCCCACCCTAGGCGGTCGTTCGGTCCGGCAAGCTCCAACCTCCCCGGGCGCCTTCCCTCCCCCAGCCTCAGGTAGTGCCTCTGCAGAGTTTGACACATCCAGCCTGGCTCCATCCGCCCCCCACAGAGCCTCATCCCAGGCCAGGACAAGGAGAAGCAGGAGCCCACAGACCACGGCGCTCAGCCGCGCACTCAGCGAATCCAGCCGCATGGTTGCTTGCAGATTCTTTCTGCTGCCGGCGGGCCAGCTGCTTTCACCCAGGGGCAGCGCCTGGCCCCGGAGTTTGGACTGGGCTGGGAGGAGGACGGGCGTCCTGGGTGGGTCGGGGGAAAAGGTCGGGATGCTGGAGAGCAGGGCTGAGCAGGCCAAGGCCGAGCGGGCGTGGGCCGCCCGGGCCCCAGTGGGCCCTTTAGGAGGGGCCAGTTGGCTTCTGCAGGCCCTCCTCCGTACCAGGAACCCTCTCCTCAAACCTGGAGTCAGTAAGTTCACTGTCCATGTAATCACAGGCCCGACGAAGGTGTTGGGGGGTCAAGCGAGGAGGGAGCAGTAAGCTATGATTGGGGAACCCAGGAGGGCTTCCCTGAGGAGGTGCACAATCAAGATTTCCACAGATGGAGAAATGGGAACGATCTTCGTTGGGGTGAAGGGAACGGCATGAGCAGAGATAGGGAGGTGTGACTGCCCTTTATTTAGAAAGCTCCTCCTTGCGTTTCAAGGACTCATAGCTTCCTGGGTGCCCTCTTCCTGGTCCCTCAACCCCTTACCCTCCCTTGTCTGAGGGTCTCCGCGGACCGCCCTCCTTTTCAAACGCGCACGTGACTGTGGTACTTCTTATCTCAAGGAGCCCTCATTTATTCATTTGATAACGTTTATCGAACGCCTGCTATCCCGCCCGCAGGGCAACCGGGCACTACCCGGCCCTCAGGGCAGCGAGGGAGGCAGGCGCGTCACCAGGAGATTCCGGAACGCTGGGAACCGCGCAAGGATAGCGGCAACCCTGAGCATGGGAGCGCTCTCCTGCCTGAGGGGCAGCAAAAAATTCCCGGAGGAAGTGTTGTCTGAGGATATGACTGGCTTAACTTCAGACTGGCCCTTAGTGCCCTCTGAGAACCAGCCTTGGCCTTGGTGTTCTAGGCTCCAAAGGGCTCGCAGAACGCAGGGCCGCTAAGTCCCATCTTCACACCTCTGCTCCAGCGATCCACAGCTTTTTAGGTCTGCGTAGGCTGCACGCGGAAGCTACAGCCCCTCCCCAACCCGAAGGCGTTGCATGTCCCTCCCGCGATCCCGTCGTCACGCCACGCCCCCTTCCCTCTCGCCGGAAGTGCGCCGTTCCGAGCGGAAGTGCATGCCCACTGTGGCCCGCCGCAATTCCGCGATGGTGGGCGGCGGCGGCGGGATGGCGGGCGGTCCTCTGGAGAACGCTAACCCCCTCATCTACGAGCGTTCTGGGGAGCGGCCCGTAACCGCCGGCGAGGAGGACGAGCAGGTTCCCGACAGCATCGACGCGCGCGAGATCTTCGATATCCGCCGCTGCTGGACGGGAGCGGGTTCTTGGGGGCCTGGGAGGGAGGGCGATATGGTGTCCAGCGGTCGGAGTAGCAGTACCAGGGCAGGGTACACCTGGCGAAGGGCCCTGAAGTGGGCAGAGACACAGAGTTCCTTTTCCTTCACTTGCCACATCTGATTCGCTCAATCAATGACCCGGAGCATCCACTGACGCTGGAGGAATTGAACGTAGTGGAGCAAGTCCGGGTTCAGGTTAGTCACTTAGAGAGTCCAAGGGGAGCGACTTGTTTGGGAATAGTCAGAAAGGCTGAGCTGTGAATGAGAGGCTGACATTCTCTCAGCTCATCTCGGGGAATCTCTGGGAGGGGAATTTGTTGTGTCAGTGTTATGAATGAGGAAACGAAGGCCCATAAAGATTAGACGATTTGCCAAACCAACAAACTAAGAAGAGGAGGCCTTCGCTGGGAAAACGGTGACCCTTTACATCTCCCACACCAGGTGAGCGACCCGGAGAGCACCGTGGCAGTGGCCTTCACACCCACAATTCCGCACTGCAGCATGGCCACCCTTATTGGCCTCTCCATCAAGGTTAAGCTTCTTCGATCTCTTCCCCAGCGTTTCAAGGTCAGCGTTTCACCCTACCCCACGGGTGGGGCAAGCATGAGGGTCTGCTACTGAGGCGGCGGACACAGAGAGCATGAAGATGGAGAAGACATCACTGGGGCCTGGAAGGATCCCAGCTAGCAGAGATGATGAAACTAGGAGGAGGGTTTCTAAGTGAATGGAACAGCAAGAATAAAGGCCTGAGCTGGAAAGTGCAGAAAAGTAGTGAGTGTGGCAGGTAGGGTAGTGGGGAGCTGTAGATGGATTTGGAGCAGGGTTGGGGCACAGGCAGGTGATGAAAGTCAATAGTGGTTGACTGATTCTTTGGTAGAGCTGAGGAGCTGTGAGTAGGTTTGGGGTGTAGTGGTAGGGCCAGAGTCCAGAGGCTGATTAGGAGGAAGGATCACTGGAGGTGATGACTGAGGGTGGGGGAAGAGGGCGGGGGCGGGGGAGAAATAGGATGGATAAGTAGGTGTGTGCTCAGGCCCTTGCTATCTCTCTCTCAGATGGATGTGCACATTACACCAGGGACCCATGCCTCGGAGCATGCAGGTGAGCGCGGGCTGGCGGTGAGGGCATTGGCCCAGGGTTCTAAGCTCTTTGAGGCTTCCCTTTTACCATGGTGGTTTGTGAGAGAAGATCCAGGGAAGCTTGGGTGGGTGAAATTGCCACAGACTCTTCGGTGGAGATGGCAACTCAGACTGAAGCTGGCCTGACTTGAATCTCTTGTGTTTACTGTTTCCTACTCCCCCCTCCCTGCCCCCCCATATTCCACAAGACCAGAGTGTGTCAGGCTTCAGGAACACATGAGGCAGGCATGAGCAACCGGGTGGGAGGGGTCCCCAGAAGGTGAGATAGTGTGAGCACTGGTGGCCAGGGTAGCCTTATTGAGGCTTGGGGTCCTGGGAAGAAAGGCCTTGTTAGTGGAGGAATAACCTATTCCAAGGCTCAGAGGTGTGGCTGGCAAGCAGCCTAGCCAGAGCCTGGCTTTGACCCTGTCTTCCTCACTCTCCCTCCCACCCAGTGAATAAGCAGCTTGCAGATAAGGAGCGGGTAGCAGCAGCCCTAGAGAACACCCACCTACTGGAGGTTGTGAACCAGTGCCTGTCAGCCCGCTCCTGAACCTGGCTTTTGGCCCCCAGCCTGCACACTCATGTCCTGGTTCCAGCTCCAACCAGGGCTTGTGGCCTTGTTTTTTTGAATCACTGACAATGAGAAACTAACATTTTGCATTTTGTAATAAACCCTTAATTTATATTCATTTCCCAGCATGCTTTAGAGTCGTTCATCTTGGTGGGGTCACTCAGGGCTTGGGAGGGGGTGGTGATAGTGAGTGCTTGTACAAGGTGGGTTGATGAAGTGCAGGTCCAGTTTATTTTTTAAAATGTCTTTGAATGTTTTGATTAGGAAAAGTTACAAGTATACAAAAAAATTGAAAGAAGAGTGTAGTAAACACACCTGTATACCTACCACCTAGATTCAACTGTTGTTACCATGTTGTAACATTTGCTTTGTTTATGTGTATATGTATAAATAGATGTGAGAGTAAGCTGCAGAGACGTGACCCTTCACTTCTGAGTACTTCGTCCTGTGTCTCCTGAGAGTAACCGTGTATAACTGCAATTCTGTTATCTGGCCAAAAAATCAGCAATTCCCCAGCGCACTAATAACCAGGCCAAATTCGCACTTCCCCAAAATGTCATTCATCATTTTTTTCCTTTTTTTTTTTTTTTAAATCAGGCTCCAATCAAGGCTCATATGTATCATTTGGTTGTTAAATATCTTGAATCTCTTAAAATTGCCTGCCCCCTCCCCCACCGTTTTTGTCTTTCCTGGCAAGTCCTGGCCAGTTATCCTGGAGCAGTACCACATTCTTCTAATTTGTTCCTTTGTCCTCAGTGTCTCCTATAAACTGGAAGTTGCTCTAAAGGCCTGGTTGAGTTCAGGCTTGAATTTTTGTTGTTGCTGAGAACCTTGTCCAGGGTTGTATGTGTCCTTTAGCATCTACTGGTAGGGTTGTGATACCAGCTTATCCCACCATTGGTGATGCTCAGTCCAGTCCCCTGGTCAAGGCACTGACATCAGATTTCTCTGTTGAAAGGCACAATAGGCACCCTCTTCATTAGTCCCCTCAGAGATGTGTGTCACCCCAGCTCAGCACCATGAAGTCATGTACTCGGGTTTGGGGCCTGCCTCTCCCTGGCACAGTTGGTTACCAGGACATACTGTGGGACTTAGACCTTGGCTCAGCCAGTTAGGAGCCCTGTAGCCATGATTCCCTGCCTCATTTTCTTTCTTTGTGAGTAGGTGGGAGATAATAAGAAGCCTTGCCCTCTATTATTAAAACAGAAAAATGTAAGTGTTTGCAAGGATGTGGAGAAATTGGAACCCTTGTGCATTGCTGGTGGGAATGTAAAATGATACAGCCACTGTGGAAAAGAATTTGGTGGTCCCTCAAAAATTAAACACAAAATTACCATAAAACCCACTGCTGTCGGGTCAATTCCGACTCAGTGACCCTATAGGCCAGGGTAGAACTCCGTAGGTTTCCAAGAAGTGGTGGGTGGATTCGAATTGCCGACCTTTTGGTCAGCAGGTGTAGCTTGCCATAATTCACCGTAGCTCTTAACCACTGTGCCACCAGGGCCCCTATAGTGACCCTATAGGACAAAGCAGAACTGCCCCATAGAGTTCCCAAGGAGCAGCTGGTGGATTTAAACGGCGGACCTTCTGGTTAGCAGCCAAGCTCTTTAACCACTGCCCCACCAGGGCTCAGCAATTCCATTCCTAGTTACAACCAAAAGACTTGAAAGCAGGGACTTAAACAGATATGTGTACACCAGTGTTCCTTGTAGCATTATTCATAACAGCCAAAAGGTGAAAACAACCAAAGCGTCTGTCAACGAATGGATAAACAAAGTATATCTGTACAATGGAATATTATTCAGCCATGAAGAGAAACGAAATTTTGATAATATTACAACATGGATAAGCCCTGAAAACATTATGCTGAGTTAAATAAGTCAGACACAAAAGAACAAATATTGTATGACACCATTTATATGAAATCTCTTGAATAGCCAAATATTTTGAGAGAAAAGTTGATCAGTAGTTCCCAGGGGTTGGGGGGATTGGGGAATGGGAACTTCCTCTGTTTGGAGTGATGAAAAAACTTTTAGAAATAGGTAGTGGTGATGGTTGCACAACACTTAATGTGCTTGGCTACTAACGGAAAGGTTGGAGGTTTGAGTCTACCCAGAGGCACCTTGGCAAAAAGGCCTGGTGATCTACTTCTGAAAACTTAAGCTACTGAAAACCCTGTGGAGCACAGTTTTACTCTGACACACACAAGGTCGCCGTGAATCGGAATCAACTTGATGGCAGCTGGCAACTGGTAAGTAAAATGGTTGTACAACATGGGGAATGTAATTAATAACACTGAATTGTATACTTAAAAATGATTGAAATGGCAATTTTTTGTTACATATATTTTACCACAATAAAATTAAAAAAAAAAAAAGACAAAGCTTTGCCCTGCCCGACCCTATCCCTGCTGAGCCTCAGATGTGACTGTAGGCAAAAGCCTCAAGAAACCTCAGCAAGGAGCCCGGGAACTTGGCAAGTCTGTTCTTGAAGCTCAGCTGACAACATTGAGCTGGTCCTAAGAGTGGGCATCAGGCTGCGGGCTTTACAAATTTTATCTAGCCAGCTGATTTTTGATCCAGCCCTGTGTGGCAGTTGCTATTCTTTATTATTGCCACTGCAGGTGAGGAAATAAGTAATTATTAATACTTAGGAATAAGTAATTGACTCCCCCAAGGCCTCTAGCTAGGTAGTAAAAAGGAACCTAAGCACTCACCAGCTTTGAACCCACCAGCTGCTCCATGGAAGAAAGGTTTGGCAGTCTACTTCCCTGAAGATTTACAGCCTTGGAAATCCTGTGGGGCAGTTCTACTGTGTCTTACTGGGTCTCTATGAGTTGGAATTGACCCAGCTTCGTAGGTACTGCTTACTGGCAGGGGGCGCTGTTGTCTTGATGGAAGGCTAGGCCCATCCTACCTCCCAAGTCCTAAGACCATCTGCCCTCCCAGGAGAGAGTGACTTCACCTAGTGACCAAGGGTGAGGCTCTGGATCTGGCTGCCCAAGCTCAGAGAGGTTAAGCCATCAGCCCTTGTCACAGTTTCTTTATCTGTGATATGGGGCTAGTCATGGCAGTCACTTGGGACCGCTGTGTGGAGATTTGAAATGGAGCTGGGCCTGTCTCATATGATCTTCCTGGCATCATACCCCCCATTTCCACAGATGAGAAAACTGAGTACGCCAGAAGGCAGGGTGACCACTAGGGCCCCACAGAACCCAGGGAGCCTTTCTGACCAGCCTTCTCCCTGCAGGTCTGCCCATGTGTGCACCTCTGACCTGATAGCCCCAATCTGTCTGAGGTGGCTGTGGTGTCTGTGTTCAGCTGCAGGGAGAAGGATTCACGGGGAAGGCAGGTCACTGAGGTACTCAGCTGGTCCTGACATCCAGTCCACGGTGGGCGAGAAACACCAAGCTGCTCATGCCACAGCTGGCACATCCCTTTGTCAGTCTTGACTCATTGGTGCCTGGCCCCTAGCTGCCTGTAGGGACACCATCTGTGTATCCTGGGCCAGTGCCCAGGGAGCTTTCTGGAACTCCAGCTGCTGTCTGAGGACACGGGTATAGAAAGGTAGTAAAGTTTTAGGCCCCTGAAACACCCACTACCAGGTGTGCCTGGCTCTGCTGTTTCTGGCCTGTGACCTTTCAGACCTCAGTTACCATGTCTATAAAATTGGAACAACAAATCATAGCTAAATGGGGTTTGTCTGTTGTCACTTATCATCCTGTCCCCAGCACAAGGGCCTGGCACAGCTCAGTGGAATGAATGGATGGATTGAGTCTTATACAAGGGCAGAGGTCCTGGGGCATGGGGGCTGTTGCCTGAGGAGGAGTGGGGATAATGAAGTCCAGCCAAGTTCTCTGCAACATTTTGCTACCTGAGGGAGGGGGAAGGTTGTGGGATCCCATAGCGAGGAGATGGGTATGGGGGCGGTATCTATTACTTCTGGGATCTCTGCCCTTCTCCTGGAGTCACATCTAGAGAGAAGAAGCAGGAGAGGACCCATAGATTCACCCAATTCTGTCCAGTCAAACCAAGGATGATGATGATAATAGAAGTGATTTTATTGAGATACTTATATGTGCCAGGCCTGTGCGAACCACTTTACCTCTGCGTGTCATGTCATTTCTGTCTCATGACAACCCTAAGAAGATACTATTATTCCTGTTCTACACAGGAGGAAACAGGCTTAAAAAGAATAAATGAGCAGAGGTGAAACGGCAAGGGGCAGAGCTGGGATTTGAAGCCTGGACTATCTGAGTCCACAGAGGCTGGAGGGAGGGGGAGCTTTAGGGCACAGGAACTTCATGCCCTTTTCCCCTCCTGGACATAGGGGTGTTCTAGCCTCAATTTGCTCCTTCTGGGCAACCAAGCTCAGCCCAGAAGGCTGGGAGGACAATGTGGTGGGAGGCGGATGTCTTAAGGTCATGTCCTGGTCTTGGCCTCTGGGGTCCCTGGCCATAGCTAGGCTCATGGTGGGCATCTCTGTGGCCTGTTGAGCCAGCTGCCGGAATGCCTGGGGCCTGAGTGGCCCTGTGTGGATGCAGTTCCCTTGGCAATGAAGAAACACTGCTGAGGTCAAGAGCTCAGATTACTGCAGGGGAAACCCAGCCTGGTTTCCTTGCATGGCCCCTGCTGAGAAAAGCCACAGCTACCCCCCACACCCACCCTCTGCCCAACTCCTTGGGCTCTTTTCAGCGGCAAGGCCAGGTGTGGAGTTGGGTGAATGGGGGCACATAAACAGCCCTGACAGGATTCCCGATGGGAGGGGTTTGCTGGCCCTTGAGGCTTTGTCCTCTGACAGGAGGCCTGGCCTACCACTCCCTCTTCTCGCTGGACTTTGTCTAGGAGACCAGAGCTAGCATAGGGTGCCCAGGTCCTCCAAGACTCCCAGGACCATGGAAAGAACACAAATGGGCAGGACACCCCTCAGCCCAGCCCTTGCCTACCTTGATAGGTACTGCCAAGAACAACAGGGGCCCACATGAGTTCCCCTAGCGCTTACCCAGCCAGGCCCTCCTTACTTCAAGGCCCTCTTAGGTGTTACTAAGGAAACTGATGTAGCAGCCAGAAAGCCCTGCCCAGGTCTCTATGGCAACCTGGAGTCCATCCTTGATGTCACCTGAGCCCCACGTGGTGTCCTCTGCCATATTTGTCATAAACTTCAGAGTCTGACAGGTCCCTATCACAAAGCACCTCACAGCCTGTCTGCTCCTAATCCTCATACAGCCCAGAGATGAGCAGGGGGTAGTAGGTCATGGGCATCCAAAGGCTGGGAGGGAGGCAAAACCCAGCAGGCTGGAGGCAGAGCCAGGACTAAAAACCAAGCCTCCCTATTGCATCCCCCCTACCCCACCCCCACCCCCCACCGTGCTCCCAGCCCCCATCCTAGGTCTGAGGGGAGTGATCTCTGGGCAGTGGTGGCATCAAGTGGTAGCTGAGACCCACCCCTCCCCTTGACCATGCTCTGCCTCTATGCCCCTCCTGGGTGAGAGTCTGAACCTCCAGGCCCTGGACAGCAGGCCTAGCCTGGAGCTAGAGGGAAGGAGGGAGACAGTGAAGACTGAAGTGGCTGGATCTAGTCCTGACCCTGGTCCAGCCCCAGCCCCATCTGCTCCTGTTGGCATCCAGCTCCCGTCTGCCTGGATTTCCCCAGCTCTGGGCAACCTCCAGCCCAGAAGCAGAATGACCAGGGGCAGGGCCAGGGCCAGGTATTTTTAGCAAAGTTGCAGGCAGCTGCTTGGGGGTGGCGGGGCAGGCAAGCGGAGACTGAGTTCATCCTTTCCCTTCACTGATGTCCCTTCCTCAGAACTCAAGCAGCTACCTCCACCTGCAACGCACTGCCAAAGGGCCTCTCTCCCTTGTCCCCTCCAAGCGGCCCTCCAAGGGCCCCCGGGGGCTCATGGGGTAACGCCAACCCTCACCCTAAAGGGTAAGCTTAGCAGGAAGAATCTTCAATTCCTCACGAGGTGGAGGCGATGGGAAGGACAGATGTTGAGGCTAGATGCCTGGATTTAGGACCCCTACTTGAGGTCTAGGTGGGTGGGCAGTGGGTGTCATGGGCAGAGAAGGGTGAAGTCTTCATGCATCTTGTAACTCAACTCTTCCCCTCCAGTAGGACTTGGGCAACAGGCCAGGCTTGGGGGAGAGGGAAAGGAGAATTCACTCTTAAAGGGCCAGGCCACATCTTCCCCAGTGGGGAGTTACCGCCCTGGGCTGGTCCCAAAGCCTCTCCACCACCCGCTGCTTCCCCCCCCACCATCAAACATGACAGCCTCCCTGCTCCATTTACACACTTCCTCCTTCCCGCCTCTCCTCCCCTTCCTTACCCCCTCCTTTCCCCCACCCCACTCAGACCCAGGAGTCTGCGGGGGGTGGGGGGTAGGGGGAGGCTGTGTTTCCAGGCAGCTGCTCACCCCTGGCGGGGGGTGGGGTCTTGGTGGGTCATAGGTCCTAGAAGAAGGGTGGGGATTCCCCTGGGCTGGGGGGACAGACACTTCAGCCCCCGTCAGCCCCCGCATCAGCGCGGACGGCGGCTAAGACCCGGGCGGGCGGGGGCGGGCGGGGGCGGGCGGAGGCTTAAATAGGCAGCGCTGGAGCCCGGACCCAGCGCGGGTGAGAAGGCAGCGGCAGCGGCAGCGGCGAGCGTCCAAGCGTCCTAGCCCAGGGCTGCGAGCGGGTTGTGTCCGAGCCCAGGTCCGAGTCCTGACCGCGCGTGCGAGTGGGTGAGTGTCCTGGCGGAGTAGGGGGCGGAGGGCGATGGCCGCACCGTCTGGGTTGCGTAGGGATGGGCCACGCTGGGAGGGGCCATCAGTCGGGGCTCAAGGATCCTCACGGTTGAGAGGGGACTGCGGCTGACCCTTGGCACCGAGCATCTTGCCTGACTCTGCGTTGGGCCGGCGCGTCCGGGGTCCGGCCTCCCACTCCATCGAAACCGCAACTTACGCGGCCATCCTGGTTCTCGGCTTCTCAGAGAGCGCCGGACGCGATGACCCTGAATGGAGGAGGCAGCGGAGCAGGCGGGAGCCGCGGCGGAGGCCTGGAGCGCGAGCGCCGTCGGGGCAGCACACCCTGGGGCCCGGCGCCCCCTCTGCACCGCCGAAGCATGCCGGTGGACGAGCGCGACCTGCAGGCGGCGCTGGCTCCGGGCGCCCTAGCAGCGGCCGGGACCGAGGCCCAGGGTCCAAGGCTGGACGGGCCAGAGGGCTCCTCTGACTCCCTTAGCTCGGGGGGCAGCGACTCAGACGAGAGCGTGTACAAGGTGTTGCTGCTGGGGGCGCCTGGCGTGGGCAAGAGCACTCTGGCCCACATCTTTGGTGGCGTAGAGGAGGGACCTGAGGCGGAGGTCGCAGGTAAAGGGCTAGGCAGGTAGGGGAGGAAAGATCCCATGGGCAGACTGGGAGCCATGGGATTGGGGACCTGGACTTAAAAGTGACAAATACATGGGATTCTGAGACACTTTCAGAAGCAGGCCTCTCCCCACCCGTTTTACAGATGGGGAAAGTAAGGGAGAAGGGACTCCTAGCCCTTGGTAGGGGAAGAAATTCCCAGAGTAAATGGTGCAGTGCTCCCATATGACCTCTCTGTGGGATGGGGGTAAGGGTGAGGACAGGACATCCCCCCAGCCAGGGTCAGCAGGAATTCTGCCAGAGGGAATTCCTAGGGGAGGAGTCCTGGTCACTTAGGGCTCCCAGAGGGATGTGATGTTCTCAGTCCTAACTTAGGTCACTGTGGTCAGAGCCACTTCTGGGCCTAGGCAGCAGGAGGGTAGGGAGCAGTGGACATTGCTAGCTTGGGGAAGGTGTCTTGGTGGAGGACAGGCACACCATGCCCCCTATCCCCCACTTCCTGGCCCTGTCACTTCTGTCTGCCTGCCCTCATGTATTGCCCAGGGTCAGGAGACACATGGCAGCCATCTGTAAGTGGGGGAAGACTGAGGACTCTGGGGAGGAGCTGGAGGAAGTGACCAAAACAGGGCATCCAGCAGGTAACCTGGCTACTGGTCTTCTGCTTAGGGCACACGTATGATCGCTCTATCATGGTGGACGGAGAAGAGGCCTCCCTCCTCGTCTATGACATTTGGGAGCAGGTAGGATGCAGGCTGAGACCCAGGGCAGAGGCAGGAGAGGTGGGTTGGGGGTAGGGGCCTGCTGGGAGTGACAGGCTTGGGTCTGGGGCCTAGGGACTGCTGGACAGGACTGTATTTGTGTTCCCCAGGACGGGGACCGCTGGCTGCCTGGCCACTGCATGGCCATGGGGGATGCATATGTCATCGTGTACTCTGTGACAGACAAGGGCAGCTTCGAGAAGGCCTCAGAGCTGCGGGTTCAGCTGCGGCGGGTGAGGCAGACAGACGACGTACCCATCATCCTCGTGGGGAACAAGAGCGACCTGGTGCGCTCTCGTGAGGTGTCCGTGGATGGTGAGCAGGGAGGGGAGTGCCTGTTGGAGAGGGAGGGAGATCCTGGCTGGAATGTGGTCCAGTCAGTCTTGGCTCAGCTTGAGTCCCTGGGGACCATTAGTGGCTAAAAATGTCCAGGAAGAAAGCTCGGGGGAGGAGGGGCACCTGCTGCCCACCGGCAAGTCTCCCAAAGGCTAGACTGGGGAAGGCCGAGTGTGACAGGGAAGGTGGACACTGTTGGGTGCTGCGCTGGGGCACCTCAGGGCTCTCCTCTGTTATCCTCTTTGGCCCTGGCCTGACAGGTGAGGGGTGAGGAGAGTGCAGGGAACCAGACCAGGAGGTCAGAGCCTGGGGTTCCAGGCTAGGCCAGTCTTGGGGTGTGCTTCACCATGGCGAGAACCCTCCCCTCTCGGGCTCAGAATCCTCCTCTGTGGGCTCCAGGACTGAGCACCTCAGAAATCTAGCAGTGACTTATTGATATTGCCTCCCTTCCCTGTCCCCCATTCAACTGGATCATTCATCACAGTGTAAGACCAAAGCATAAAACAGGCACCAGGCGGTCCAAAACAATTCTCCTTTTCCTGTGTTGACTACTGTGGCACTTCTGTTTAAATAGCTGTTGTTGTGTGCCTTTGAGTTGATTCCTACTTCTAGCAACCCTGTATAACAGAGTAGAACTGCCCCATAGTGTTTCCTAGGCTGTAATCTTTATGGGAGCAGATCACTAGAGTCTTTTCTCCTGTAGAGCAACTGGAGGGTTCTAACCGCCAACCTTTCAGTTAGCAGCCAGGTGCTTAACGATTTCACCACCAGATCTCCTGTTTAAATAGCAGACACCAAGTTATTTCAATAAACGAGTCTCCTTTTTCAGTCACCACTTTGTGGACTCCCTGAACGTAGGCATGTTCTGCCTGATGAATGGCCCAGCAGTGCCCGGAACCCTCAGTATAGGACCTGGGGTCTCTGTGTTTCTGGGGAGGACCCTAGCCATGAAGTGAGTTCTCACCCACCCACCTTTTTGTTCACTGCCCTTGCCTATGCCCACCCACACCAGAGGGCCGGGCCTGTGCCGTGGTCTTCGACTGCAAGTTTATTGAAACATCGGCCGCGCTGCACCACAACGTCCAGGCACTGTTTGAGGGTGTCGTGCGCCAGATACGCCTTCGCAGGGACAGCAAAGAGGCAAATGCACGGCGGCAGGCGGGTACCCGGCGACGAGAGAGCCTTGGCAAGAAGGCGAAGCGCTTCCTGGGCCGCATAGTAGCGCGCAACAGCCGCAAGATGGCCTTTCGCGCCAAGTCCAAGTCCTGCCATGACCTCTCGGTTCTCTAGGCCCCACAGCACTCACTGCAGTGGGCAGACAGATGGGCGGGTTGGTGGGCCGGTCCAGCCAAGCCGCCCTAGATGCCTCAGGGCTGTCTCAGTCTCTGAACCCCTCAGAACTGCCAGTCGGGCATCCCCCACCTCCCAGTCATGGACAGACGGTGATGCCCGGGGATGTGGCCCCCAGAGGCCAGTGAGGGCTGGGCCCACAGAGAAGTGTGTGCAGGCCCATGTATGCCCCAAGGCAGAGGCCTGAGCCCAGCTGGTAGGGCAGCCTGCCTCTCTGGCCAGGGTGAAAACAGGCCCGTGTGTGGGAGCTGACTGTGACTTCTGCCCTTGTCCACACCTGTGGTGTGCACGTCCAGGAAGGAGGCTGTTCAGTGCGGTGGCTATTTGTTTACATGCAGATTTTTGTAATAAAGACTATTTCCTGATAGATCAGGGCTGTCGACTCTGTGTTTCCTCCCATCTGGGGGCTGCAGGAACAGGAAAGTTTTCCAAAGTTGAGGGATGAGGGCTTGCTGCCCCACCCTGGTGTGTGGCTTTGTCCTAATATTTGGGCCTGGGCCTAGGCAGCTGGGGCAGAGGGCACAGCATGGGGCCAGACCTGGTTGAGGGTGGAAACAGCAGGAGGAGACACAAACCCCTCCTGGCCCCTGCTATCCAGGTCCTTTTCCTTCTGCACTGGGGCCTGGCACTGCCCAGGGAATAGAGGGTTCCAGTCATCCCCCTGCACATAAGGAAAACTGAGGCAGTGTGAGGGGCCCATGGTCCTGCCTCTCATCTCACAGCCAGACAAGCTCCTGGACTGGTGACTCTGCCCTGCTCCCTCCTGAGGGCCTGGGAATCAGCCGAGGTCGGGTGGCTGTGGAAGACTTCAGAGACTTCCCAGCTGGGGAAGGAGGTGGCTGGTTGGCCTAAGGGTGGGAATGAGGGAGGCATGCCCTGGCGAACTTGACTCAGGATGGCACTTTTCTTTCCACGATGAGTGGCCCACCAAACCAGAACATCCCATGCTCAGCATTAGCCAATTGGGTCCTGGCAGGAACAGCTCAGTTGAGCCCACCCTGTCTTGAATGAGAGGCCTTGCGTTTGTGTAGGAAGGTGGGCACACATGTAGCTGGAGGCGTGCATGTCTCCCCACCCACCCTCACTCCAAGAGGGGTCTCCGTGGCCCCTAGCCCTTCTTAGCACAGGGGGCTTGCCAGGAGTTTATTTACAAGGTTTCAGGAATGAGTATCCCTATTTGATGATGGCAGATGGAAAATGGGAGCACTTGCCCGATATCCTATGGGTAGGAAGTGGCTGAATGGGGTCTGGTATCCAGATCTTCCCATCTCTAAAACCTGGAGCAGTCTGGGGCAAGGTGGGAGAGAGCTTCTGAGAAGGTTCCAGGACAGGGTCCACACACTCCTTTATTAGTTCAATTAATTCATTCCACAGTCCCTGGCAGCCCTCACAACCTGATTAGATCCCTGATTACAGCTCCTTCTCAGTGCGTGTGTGGGGGGGGTACCTCTGAGACTAACCCACATGCCCCCCACGGCAGTGTTAACTGCTCAAACTGCTGCTTCTCTCCACCACAGCCCCTTTAACATACCTTGAGGCGGGTGGAGGACGTGGTTTTCTTGGAGCAGGTGAAGGTCCCAAGGCCTGAACAGGAACCCAGGCCTTCCTGGTTCTGCCACTTATTGGCTGTGTGACCTTGAGCAAGCCACTCAGCTTCTCTGAGCCCCAGTGTGTGACAGGAGAACAATACTCCCATCAGAGTGGAGTGGGTGGAATAATGAAAGAATGTGTTCAGGGTACCGCCTGGACATAATAGAAGCTCAACACCTGTGAGACCCCCCTCAACATTCCCACACCATAGCACTGCAAGCTCGGATGCCTGAGTAACCCTGGGGCAGGCAATCAGCTTATGACAGACAAGGCTGGGGCAGCTGAGGAGTCCCACCCAGCTTCCAGCCTGAGAGAGAGTAACCAGATGTGCTGTTGGAAGGGAAGCTCCGAGGACAGGGAGAGGCTGGAGGCCAGCATCCCTGACCTTTCCTCCCTTCCTCCCTCCCCTTCAATTTCCAGGCCTTAGAAGCTTCTCCTGGCTCTGCTTGGCTGCCTTCACTGGGGGAAGGGCCCCTGGTCAGTACTGCAATTCCTTCAAGGTCACCTGGGCTGGCTCAAACTTCCCTTTCCTTCTTAGAGGCACAAGACAGTCATTGTCCCAACCCTGTCATTGTCCAGGGCCTAGCTTAAGGATTTGTGGAGGCCCAGGAGAGATCATAGGCTGCTGTCCCACTGGTCCCACCAGTGGGTGGCCTGGAGCCCCGAATGCTTAGTTCAGGTTGAGCACTGACTATTTATCCATCCTTCATGTGCAACTTCCAGCTCCTTGTCCCAGGAGCTGCCAGGGCATTGCAAGAACCAGGCCATTGCTGAGTCCTTGAGTCCTGCCTCGGAGGGTCTCCCAGTCTGATGGAGGAGAGAGACCATGACAATATGGTGTCTTCCGTGCACTGATAGAGGTAGCACATGGGAGGAGGGATGCTCCCAGAGGTGGCTGCTGAACCAGCCTGGAAGCACAGGGAAGGTTTCCTGGAGAAGGGAATATTTGAACAGAATACCGAAGCATGAGCAGGTGCTCAGCAGACAGATGAAGGAGTGGGAAGGGAATTCCAGGCTAAATGAACAGAGGGTGCAAAGGTATGGCTACAGACACTGGTGCATTGGGGAGAAGTGGGGCCAAGTCCGGAGCCACAGAAAAAGAAATCTGTCCAAGCTCAGGGACCCACGGAGAACCCACTGGGCTATGTCAGGTGGAAGGAGTGCCCACCCAGCCTGATGATCTCCCCAGCTCCTGGGGCTGGCAGTCACGGATGCTGAGCAGCCCTTGCTCACTTTCCAAAGTCAATGAGTAACTTGGGGGACTGGGCAGGGCCAGGCCTGCTGCTGTGGGGCCAGTGGTGTTTTCCACTCCTGAGCAAGAGTGGTCGGACCGCCTCCCTGCTCAAGTGTCCGCCCTGCCCTACCCTACCTGGCCTGGCCTGGCCAGAGCTCCCTAGAGAAGGAGCCCTTTCGCCTGGCAGCCAAGGGAGCCAGCCATAGGCACTGGTGGGTGAGGGGCTGGGGATAGAGGGGCGGGCAAGGCTCAGGCTGGGGATGGTGGTGAGGGAAGGATGATGGCGAGTAGGGACAGCAGCTTCGAGAAATACTGCCCCATTGTCCTGTTGTTCCGGGGAAGAATTCCCAGGGATCCGTCTTGGAGTGGTTGTTGATGCTGTCTGCCTAGCCCTGTGCTGAGTGCTGGAAAATGCCGATGAGGCTGGACTCCTGCCCTAGGGGTGCTGTGTCTGGAGGCAGCAGACCCTGGAGACACTGAGCCAAGAGTCCTCTGTTCTAGGAGGAATCCTTCTGTGATCAAGTCCTTTGTGACCTTGGCCGGGCCCTGCCCCTCCTCAGGTCTTGCCAGCAACTTGAGGGAACGGTACGAAGTGACCCTCAGAGTTGTCAGGGTCTTTCCTGTTTTGAACTTTTGTGACTCTTCAGGTCTGCTGAAATTACTTTGGGGTGATTTCAAGGGGAGAGAGAGGAGGCCAGTCTGAAGTGAGATTCGTTTGGCTGTGTATACGGGAGGGACTGAGGCAGAAGACAAGGGACAAGGGTGGGGGTGGGTGGAGGACAGTGTCCAACTGGGTGGGTGGGAAGGGGCAGATCTGAGAGCTGCTAGGTTGGAACAGAAGGACAGGGACAGGAAGAGGCCTGGCTGTCTACCCCATAGTGACTAGGGAGGAGGAGAGGTCAGCTAGGAAAGTTGTACCCCCATCGCTTGGGGAAGCTGTGGCCTGGTGCTGAGTGGGGATGGGGGCAGAGATACCTTGTAGGAGGGCGGTAATGGGAGAGCCCCCTCCCCAGTGGTCTATCCATACCACCTTGTCCTTCAGGTCTGTCCTGGCCATGGTCCCTGCCTGGCTGTGGCTGCTCTGCCTCTCTGTACCCCAGGTGAGCTGGGTCCTGCCCCCCTCCTTCAGGTCTTGGCCTTGGGGTTGACACCTATGCCCCTACTCCACCCAGACCAGTTGCACTGACCATAGGAGTACTTGGGGGGTGGGGTGTGTCAAAGCTGACTATGGGCCTGTTGAGGGATTGCAGGGCCAAAGGCCAGAGGGTGGATAGGCTGAGATGTGGCCAGGTCCAGTAAAGGGGTAAAAATTCCCCTGCCCTGTCAGGTCCCCAGCCCATAGACAGGGAGACAGCCCCTGGGGTTAAGGAGGGAATTCTCCCACAGGTTCTTCTCAAGGCTCAACCTACAGAGCTGTATGTGGAAGTCCCAGAAAACTATGGTGGAAATTTCCCTTTGTACCTGACCAAGGTGAGTCTGAGAGCTGGATGGGCTGCCCCCTCTTCCCCAACCTCCTGCTTCCCCAACCTCCAGCACCCCTTCCTCCTCACTTGCTCCGGCTCTCTTTTAAACCTTGTTCTTCAGAGAGTATGTGTAACAGTGTTAATAACTAAGAAGATTTTAATCCCAGAGGAAAGTAGAGCTTTAAGTTAAAGAACAAAATATTTCTTAGAAAGAAGGGCAGGGAGTATTGGGGAACATCAGTTACAGGGGAAAAGCTCTGGCTTTGGACCTCGGCCCTATTGCTTACTGGCTATGTGACCTCAGGCAAGTGCCAGCCCTCTCTGAGCCTCAGTTTCCCTACATGTAAAATGGGGCCATTGGGTGGAGCTAGCATCTCCTAGACGTAGCCCCAACTGCTCCACCAGCTGCCGCTGCACCATGAGGAGACCGAGGGCCAGATTGTGCTGTCGGGGGACTCGGGCATGGTGGCTGAAGGCCCCTTTGCTGTGGATCCAGAGTCTGGCTTCCTCCTGGTGACCAGAGCCCTGGACCGAGAGGAGCAGGCAGAGTACCGGCTGCAGGTATGGCTGGGCCAGGTGGAGGGGACAACAGTGAAGGCAGGGCTGGGCACTGACTACCCTTCCCTGCAAGGTGACCCTGGAGACTGAGGATGGACGTGTCCTGGGGGGTCCGCAGCCTGTGCTCGTGCGTGTGAAGGATGAGAACGACCAGGTGCCCCATTTCTCCCAGGCCATCTACAGAGCTCAGCTGAGCCAGGGCACCAGGCCTGGTAAGTGACTAGGGCAGCCAGATCACAGCTGGGTCAGGTGGTCCCTGAGGAGTGCAGAGAGCAAAGAGATGGCCAGAGAGTCATCATGGGAACAGGGCAGCCAGGGTCCAAGATGCTCCCTCCCACTTCCATTCCGTTCTTCCTGCCCCCTACCCTGCTGAGGTTCCTCAAATGGGTCCCATCCACTCTTGGCCTCAGTTTGCTCATCTGTGAAGTAGGGTGAAAAGCCCTGTCTCACCTTCAGAGTCTCAACATGATGCTGGATAGGAAGAAAGGGCCAGGGAGAGAGAGGAGGGCACAAGGGACTCGCCCCACTCCCTCCATCTCTTATGGTTCACCCTCCCCCAAAACACCAGGCACTCCCTTCTTCTTCCTTGAGGCTTCGGATGGGGACGAGCCAGGCACAGCCAACTCAGATCTACGATTCCACATCCTGAGCCAGGTCCCGGCCCAGCCTTCCCCAGACATGTTCCAGCTGGAGCCCCAGCTGGGGGCTCTGGCCCTCAGCCCCAAGGGTGAGCCTGAGTGTGATGGAGAGGGAAGGTCACGGAAAGCTGCAGAAGGTGGCATGTGAGCTGTAATAGGATGGGCTGGAGTTTGAGAGATAAAGGAGGAGGGAAGGGCATTCTAGGTGGAGAGAGAAGCAAGGCAAAAGGCTTGGAGGCAGGACCATGCATGCAGTGACCATGCGTGATGTGAATGGAGTGCCTCAGCCCTATACTCTGGAGACCTGGCCCTAAGGGACCAGGATAGAAGAGGTCTGAGGGGAGCCAAGGACACTGCTGAGAGACCTTAGGACTGTTGGCAAGAGGGACCTGGACCTGCGAACTCAGACCAAAGTCATGGATTGGGGATGGAAAGAAAAACCTATCTGGCCACCCATTTATCTATTCATCACCCAACCACCCATGCAGTCCATCTATCCATCTATAGAAACACTTACCCATTCACCCACCCAAACCCCCATCCCTATACCTAGCTAACCATCCATTCATCCAACCTGTCATCCACCCATCCACACCTCAACTCCATCCTGGTCATCCATCCACCATCCATCCATTCACAACCATTCATTGTGTGGATAGATATGGAAGTGGCTTTGCACACTGCCAAGTCCTGGTTTGATCTTCTCATCCCTTGGCCAAGAGAATATCCTAAACACTTGTCATCTGTCTAGCTTTGTGTTTGGTACCTTGCTGAGAAGGATGCCCTGGTCCCTGCTCCCTAGCTCCCTGCTCAGCTGACCACCCTACTCCTCCTAGGGAGCACCAGCCTAGACCACACCCTGGAGGGGCACTACCAGCTGTTGGTACAGGTCAAGGACCTGGGCGACCAGGCCTCAGGCCACCAGGCAACAGCCACCATAGATGTCTCCATAGTAGAGAACACCTGGGTGCCCCTAGAGCCCATCCACCTGGCAGAGGATCTCGAAGTCCCATACCCGCACCTCATTGCCCAGGTGAGTAAGTGGCTGTCAGCAGCTGAAGCATCCCCAGCTAGGCTGGAGTCTCATGGAGACCTGGAGTCTGGGGCCCAGTTTGACCCTTGGTCCTCCCCATCTATGCTCCTCCCTCCACTATTCCCATCAGTTCCCACCATGGAGTGGGGCATTCAAGGCCCTTGGACAGATCCACAGTCCTTCACCTGTTACCCTCTGGCAGACGTGGCTCTGTGCTCTGACCTCCTGGGCTTGCGCAAGACTTCCTTAGATAGAACAGCTGTTACCTCTTGCTGTCACAGGGATTGCCACCCAGGCGAGGAATGTCTCAGGCCTTCTCTAGAAACCCCTGCGGTCAGGCCCAGTCTGAGAGAGCAGAAAATAAGTAACCTGGTCATTCAGGCATTTTGGGCATGGTCCAGGCTTGGACAAGGGCAGGGCCACCATGGAGTTTCCACAATAACAAGTGCCTCCAAACAGAAGGACCCCACCCAGGCCCAGGGAGGGTAGCAACTTTCCTGGGGTCACACTGGCTCCCTGCCCAGGAAGCAGTTGGGGCACAGGGCTGACATGGGCTGTTCCTATCTCTTGGTCTGGGGTGCCCTCATTCTGTGTGCCCCTCTAGGTACACTGGAGTGGAGGGGATGTATGTTACCATCTGGAGAGCCAGCCCCCTGGACCCTTTGATGCAGACACAGAAGGGAAACTCTATGTGACCAGGGGGCTGGACCGAGAATCCCAGGCTGAGGTGAGGTGAGGGGGAAGCTGGGGGTGCTTGGTCACTGTTGGGCTGGCTTCTGGGATGTCACATCCCCACAGACACTGAGGCAGTGGAAGCAAACCAGGAAGAGCTGAAGCTAGCCACTAGAAGGGAACCCAGACCCTGGTGAGGCTGGATCACTCTTGGTTCTCATCTGAAGCTCCCCCACTGTCTACTACAGTACCTGCTCCAGGTGTGGGCTCAGAATACCCGCGGCGAGGACTACGCAGAACCTCTGGAGCTGCAGGTGGTGGTGACAGATGAGAATGACAATGCACCTGTCTGCCCTCCACGTGGCCCCCCAATCAGCATCCCTGAGCTTAGCCCCCCAGGTGGGCTATGGGCCTTGTCAGGAATGAGAGGAGAGGAGAAGTCCCTGTGAACCATCCTATTGCTTTTCTCTGTAATGGGGGCCCAGCTTCAGTCACCCATATCAATGTCTCACCCCCAAAACACACACATACATACATGCACATGAGCTCAGGTTCAGTCTAGCATAAAGGAGAAATGGGCCTCCAGGCTGGGCTGTATTCCCACACAGGTGGGTGCTGTCTTGCAGGCACAGAGATAACTAGACTGTCAGCAGAGGATGCGGATGCCCCTGGCTCCCCTAATGCCCACCTTGTGTATAGACTGCTGATTCCTGAGCCTGAGGGGAGAGCCTTTGAGTTGGATCCCACCTCGGGCAGCATAACACTGGGGGCTGCCCCGCTCCAAGCTGGCCAGAATTTCCTGCTCCAGGTGCTGGCTGTTGACCTGGCAGGAGCAGAGGGCGGTAAGTGCCCTGATAGTGACCCGACTCCCTGCCCCTCCATTCCTACCCTGGCCTCCCCAACATGTCCTCCCCTGCCTCAGGCCTCAGCAGCACGTGTGAGGTCGCTGTCTTGATCACAGACATCAATGACCACGCCCCTGAGTTCACCACCTCCCAGGTAAGCAAGAGCAGGGGAGAAGACCTTGGGGAGGGTGCTGATGGGGGGCTCATGGCCTCTCCCCATCTCTCCAGATTGGGCCCATAAGCCTCCCTGAGGACACGGAGCCCGGGACTCTGGTGGCCACACTCATGGCCACTGATGCTGACCTTGAGCCTGCTTTCCGTGTCATGGACTTTGCCATCGAGGCAGGGGATGTGGAGAGGACCTTTGGTCTTGATTGGGAGCCAGACACTGGTCATGCCCAACTCTGGCTCCGCAAGGTAAGAGGCTGATGGGTGATGGGATAGGGGGCCAACACACACATGCACGCTCCGTGACCCAGGCCCCACTGATCCCAGAACCTCAGCTATGAGGCAGCTCCAAGCTACAAGTTGGTGGTGGTGGTGCGAAGTGTGGTGGATCTGGTGGGGCCAGACCCAGGCCCAGGATCCACGGCCACAGTGACTGTGCTAGTGGAGAGGGTGGTGCCACCCCCGAAGCTGGACCAGGACAGCTATGAGGCCAGTGTCCCGGTCAGCACCCCAGCCGGCTCCCTCCTGTTGACCATCCAGCCCTCAGACCCCATGAGCAGCCTTCTCAGGTGAGCCAACAGCCCAACCCCTTACCTAGGCTGGACCTCCCCTGCTCCTCAGGGATGGCCCCAGGGCCTCAGTCACATTATTTAGGGCCTGGAATATTCCTCAAACCATGGCTAATGCCAAAATAGTAACTCCTGATGGGATCAGGGCTGGGTTGGCTGAGCGGGGCATGGAGGAGGGTGTTTGAACCCCATGGGAACTCAGATTATATCTCCTCATACTCTCTTGGACCAGACCCTCCCCCAGGTCCTCATCCAGATTGCAGCAGAGGCGAGGCTGCCTCCAGGCTCTGCCCCTACCCAGCCCCCTTTGTAGGGTGTCCTGGGACCAGTGAAGTGGAGTTAGGTCCCCAGGCTCTGACAGTTCCTCTCCCACCTACCGTATCCATGGTCCAAATCCCCCGACCAAATCAAGCTCTTCCTCTCCTGGTTTGGGGTTTTTTGTCAGCCTCACAGATACCCCAGTTCCCTCTGTCCCCCAGGCTTCCCTCGGTCGCTATTCACAGTCACCCTTCCAATCTATGCTGCTGGGGAGAGGGACTGGGAACCTGGCCACTGCTGCCACCCTTGAGTCATAGAGAAGATGTGGAACTTGGGCAGTTTACATATCCCTGGAGGGTCTCTACATAAGACCCTAAAATATGGTCCCATGGCCCCTCTTCCCCTTTCACTTTCTCTGGGCCCCAGGTTCTCCCTGGTCAATGACTCAGAGGGCTGGCTCTGCATTGAAGAGGGCTCCGGGGAGGTGCACACAGCCCGGCCCCTGCAGGGCGCCCAGCCCGGGGACACGTACACAGTGCTTGTGGAGGCCCAGGACGCAGGTATGGCCAGGTAGTGGTGGAGGCTTCCGGGTGGGAGAGCAAGCCTTAGACAGGCAGGGCCCACCCAACCTGTCCCTCCCTGCAGGCATCCACTCAGCCCCAGGCAGGAGAGAGGGGCAAGGAGAGGGTCAGGGTAGACCCTGAGAATGGGTCTACATCAAGGTGGGCAGGCCTGGCCTCTGCTTCCCCTCCCAGACCAGCCTCTCACACCAGACTCCTAACTTGGCACTCAAAATCCCCCTCAACCCTGCCTCTTAGCTCCTGCATGGCCTCTCAGGGTGTCTGACTTCAGAGGATATGGGGCTGGGGACAGAGAGGACAGGGCTAGGGAGGTGGGAGTCAGGCTGCGTTGTGTGCCAGGAGGTGAGTCTGGATGGGACACTGAGGCCAGGTGTGAGCATTGCTCGCGACAGGATGCCAAGCTGGCGAGCTGGCCCCGGGTTGGCACGTCAGGGGGCAGTGCCAGCTCTGCGCTGGGCTGTCCTGTGGTGCCAGGCATTCCTACGTGGTCGGACCTGGGACCTGGCATCAGTGGCGGGGCGGTGGGCAGTGGTGAGGGCAGGTTTGGCAACCAGAAGGGTACAGTGGGCCTGGCAGCTATTTAGACAGTAAAGGGGAAGCACCTTGTGAGGAAGTGGGGGTGATGATGGGGATGGAGAGAGGGAGTAGTGTGGAGGGGGATGTAGTGGGTGGGGGATCAGCAGGGAGAGACTCATGGGTTGTGGGGTTGGGGGAGGACTCGCTCAGGAATTCCGGAGTTCACCCTCACCCCCACCCCAGCCTGGGCCAGCGTGCTGTTGCCTCCTCTGCAGATGAGCCAGGACTGAGTGCCTCTCTGACCCTAAAGCTCCACTTCCTGAAGGCTCAGCCAGTCCCAACCCTGCTTCCCGCCCTTGTGCCTGCCCAACACCTCTGCACACCCCGCCAGAGCCGTGGCGTGGTCATCAGTGGAGCCAGTGGAAACTCCGACCTGGCCAGTGGGCAGGGTCCCTATAGCTTTGCCCTTGGTCCCAACCCCACGGTGCAGCGAGATTGGCGCCTCCAGGCCCTCAATGGTGTGTTGGGGGAGGGAAAGAGGCTGCAGCCAAGCAGGGAGGGGGTGGCACTTGGTAGTAAGACACCCTTCCACTATGGGCCCATCCAGGGTAGCGGCCCTGCTCACCCACTTGCCCTCTTGACAGATTCCCATGCCTACCTTACGCTGGCCCTGCATTGGGTGGAACCACAGGAACACGTAGTCCCTGTAGTTGTCAGCCACAATGACCAGATGTGGCAGCTCCTGGTCCGAGGTGAGGCCGGGGCCCAGGTGCAGCTGCAGTTGGCATCCTGCGGTTCCTGAGAGCGGTTAAGCCATACCATGCAGGGGGAGGGCCTGGGTTCACACTGACAGATATGTCTATGCAAACCTGCGCATTTGTGGCTGGGCACACACACTGGGGAGCATGCACCTCCACACACACATGAATACATACATGTGCACACAGACTAGCCAGCTGGGCCTGGCTGTGGAATCTGAGCAGCTAGAGGGCCCCCCCACCTTCTGGTACCTTCCTCCCCTGCCCTCAGTGGTCGTGTGTCGGTGCAACGTGGAGGGGCAATGCCTGCGCAAGGTGGGCCGCTTGAAGGGCATGCCCACGAAGCTGTCGGCAGTGGGGATCCTTGTGGGTACCCTCGCAGCGATAGGTAATTGAGGCTAAGCTCCTGTGCGGGGAGGGCAATGGGTGGTCAGAACCACAGCATCCAGATAGTCAGTGCCCCCCAACTCTCCTAGTCCCCAGGCTGTAGGCCCTTGTTATCATAGTCATCATCATCATTTATAACAACATTGATAACTGTTACATGATGACCCATTTACTGTGTGTCAGGTCCTATGCCAAGCATTTCACATGGATTATCTCACTGACTCCTCTCCATAACCCTGTGAGGTAGACCCTGGCATCTCCCCACTTTCCAGATTATCTCACTGAGGCTCAGAGAGGTTAAGTTACTTGTCCAAGGTTGCACAGTCAGGGTGTGGCAGAGCCTAGGTCCTTCTAGCCTAATTTCTCAGTCTAAGCCCACTCCCCATTCCCTGTATTTCTTTAGTTCCCCTTAAATGGGTGGGATGGAAACCCTGTTGGCGTAGTGGTTAAGAGCTACGGCTGCTAACCAAAATGTCGGTGGTTTGAATACACCAGGCGCTCCTTGGAAACTCTGTGGGGCAGTTCTGCTGTATAGGGTTGCTGTGAGTCAGAATTGAGTTGACCACAACGGGTTGGTTGGTTGGTTTTTAAACGGGTAGGTGGTTTTCCCTGCTGGTTCTAGCACAATGCTACAATGTGGCTTTCTTTCAGAAGTCCAGGGGACAGCTCGCTGGCCTCCAGAGTATCCCCACCCAATCTGTCTCTCAGAGAAGGGGAGGCTGGGTGTTCTGGGGCAGCCTCTAAGGCCTAGTGAGGGCTGGGCAGGCCAAGCAGACAGGCTTCTCCAAGCATGGGGACCACAGAGTCACCCAGCCCAGCCTTGAGGACTCTGTCTAGGCAACTTCGCCACGTTATGAAACAAATACCAGTATCAGGAAGTCCCTGCTGACGGACAAATCCCACAGCATTTTCTGAGGACTAATCCATCTCTCTTGGGCCCCTCAGGCTTCTTCCTCATCCTCATCTTCACCCACTTGGCCCTGTCGAGGAAGAAGGACCTGGATCAGCCAGCGGACAGTGTGCCCCTGAGGGCGGCAGTCTGAACGGTCCAGGCAGCCAAACTGAGAGCTTGGTCTCTGGCTCCATCCGAATCCATTGGGAGGGGGCCCGGCACCCCAGATGCAGCTGGAGCCAGGACAAAGTAGATGCCCTTCCAACTGCCCTGAAGTGGAGGCATCGATGCTCACCAGGCATGTCTGCAGGGCCTGGATGTGAGCTTTATGGGCTGCCCATGGGAGTGCTCCAAGTGGCGGCATGTGTGCCAGATAATAAAGCCTCAGGGAACTGGGCAAGAGCCCTACGGGACTGCTATGCCCACGTCTGAGTGTCCATGTGTGTGTGTGCATGTGTGTGTGTGTCCACACACCTGCCCATTCATCCCTTCCCCTTCTCCTGCTGCATAAAAAGGGCTGGGGGCTTGAGGAACAAGCCTGGGGTCCCCTGTAGGGAAGGACATGGGGGCATCATATGGGCTCCTGGTGAGACCTTGGGGTTGGAACAAGGGAGTCATTTCCATTGGCATCTGGAGCCCACTGGCCACCCTTTCCAGGTGACGGTTGGGGAGGGGTATTCTTGCAAAGGGTCATTTCTGTGTTTCCTGGACTTCATCTTCTATGGGAAGGAACAACCTTGTGTGTCCCTGTGCCTCAGTCATCTGCACACAAAGATGGGCTGAGGTCCCTGAGTCTCAGCAGGGGTCTAGGCAGGAACCCTGAGGGGCCCATGGGGCTGGAACAAGAAAGGTGAGGCTGAGGATGGGTCCCCCGCCCGAGCAGGCCCCAAGGCACCTTTGGGTTTCACACACAGACTGTTAAATGCATAACGAGGGGCTTCAGAAAGTCAGAGGGGAGTCATTCAAATGGACATCATCAGAGTGGGACAGAAGCTCCCATGGCTTATCCTGGAACTTCCCCTGCATCAGGCCTAAGATTGAGCCATGGCCCTGGCGCCTTGCTGAACCCTGACCGCAGGTCCAGATAGACCTACAATCCCTGACCCTTGACTGATCCCGATCGCGTACTGACCCCTCCACCCCCATCCCAACGGTCTCTGGGGAGACAGGGTGGGATTTGCTGTCCCAGGCACCCTGAGCTGATGATGGTAAATCACGGGGAAGGGAGAAAAACAACTTCTATGGGGCCCAGGCCCTATTTTTAGGAGATAATCTCTCCACTCCTGGCAGATTCTGTGGGACGGGGGCCAAGCCGAACCAAGAGAGACTGGGCGGGCATGAGGACTGGCCTGGAGGAGCCTGGGGGCCTCAACCAGGGTCCCCAGCCCAGGTACAAGCTCTGAGGCCTGCCCCAGCCATCCGGGGCCCAGGCATCCGCACTGGAGGCTCTATCCCACCTCTGCCCCTCCCAGGATCCTCTGCTTGGCATGCACCTACTCAGAACTCTTCAGGGTACAAAGCTCTTTGAAGGCAGCAGTCCATCTCATCCTCTATCAACCTGTGAGGGCAGGATTATTGGCCCTGTTTCCCAGTAGGGAATACTGAAGGTCAGGGAGGTTAAGGGCTGCAGCTGGGAGTCTTGGAAGCAGGGTGCAAGAGAAGACTGTCTAACTGAGGTCCATGTTGCCTCTCCAGAACTGTCCACAGCCTCCAGCTGGCCCCTGCTGCCACAGAAGGGCCTTGGAGACCACCCAGGGCAGCTCCTTCTTGGAAAGCTGAGAAAATCAGTCTCAAAGAGGAGGAGGGATCTTCCCAAGTTCATACAGCCAGGGAGATGCAACACCTGAGCTGGGATCCTGGAATCACCCTGGTTTTTGAGTCCCTTTTCCGGGATGGATGGATAGGTGGATGGGTGGGCAGATGTGTAGGTGGGTGGATGGATAGGTGGATGGGTGGATGGGTGGATAGATAGGTGAGTGGGTAGGTGGGTGGGTGGACAGATAGGTGAGTGGGTGGGTGGGTGGATAGATAGGTGAGTGGGTGCGTGGATGGATGGATGGATGGGTGGGTTGGTGAGCAGGGGAACCAACAAAGGAAAGAGTGGATGACAGGATACCAGGGAAAATCAAGGCTTCTGCCCCAGTTTGAGGGCTTCTTACTTGGGACTTCAGGCCCCAGGCCACTCCCTGATCGTGACTGTGTCACTGCTGGGGCTGACACTGGTCCACAAGCCCCTTCCCTGGGGACAAGGGCTCAGTTTCCCTGAGTATCTTTGACATAAAAACTCTCCTTCCATCCTCAGCCCCGTTCTATAGAGGAAGGTAAGTGTCAGAGATGGGGTGTGGCTTGTCCTTCGTTACAGAGGGAGTGAAATCTGAGGTTGGCACTGGCTTCTGGGCTTGGCAGTAGGTCAGTGCATGCTTGTGGGGATTCATGCTAGTGAGGTAGACCTCACTGTGCAGGCAGGGCCATGCCCTGCTAGGGCAAGGTGGGGGATAACTAGGGGTAACTGGTTGGTTCAGTGCATGCAGAAGAGTGTGGGATCCATGCTTTGCCTCGTTCTTGATGTGTGCTCCCAGGCAAGTCGCTTTACCTCTCTGAGCCTTAGTTTACTTGTTGATAACATGGATTTCACCTCATGGGGCTCTTGGGAGGACTACATGAGATAATCCCTGCAATATGCGTTTAGCACAGCAGGAGCGCAATAAACATGGCTGTCCTGGTGCATGGACTACAAGGGGAGATGCAGCACAGATGCCCACAGCTGCACACTCACACACACTCCCCAGAGGCCCCATGAGGCCCAGGGGGTGTAAGAGGGGCCCTGGCCCAGCCCCAGCCCTTCTGGGTGACCCTGGGCAAGACACACCCCTCCAAGTTTGGTTCCTTTCTGGCTCCAAGCTCTCTCGTTCCATGATTCCCAGGGTCTCACAGGTTAGGAGCTAGAGGGGGTCGAGGGGTGGGTCTGCTTGGGGGCTCCTGCTCCCCCTCTCCCAGGCCCTGTCCAGAGGCACAGGGCCAGATCAAAGGGACCCAGCACTAAGGCTCAGGAGGCGGGCTTGGAAAGAATGTAAACATGAAGATATTTTTAAACTTTTTCCAGCCCCAGTGATTAGGGTTCCTGAAGCGAGAGGCCCAGGGGTCAGTCCAGCTCTTACCCCCCAAGAAAGAAACAGCTTTGGGACCTCAGAGACCCCTACCTCACCCACACCCACCTACACCCATCGCTGGACTCTAGCTTGGGCCTCGGTGAAAGTTCTTGTTATGATCTCACCTCCAAGCGTCCTGCTGCTGCAGGGTACCATGTTTCTAACGAGAGGGCCTCAGAGATGTGGGAGAACCCAAAGGGTTGAAGAGATTGTGGGGGGCCTACCTGGCAAGGCCAGTGTTCCTGAGCTTGGGAGACCCCTTGGCAACCCTGTTACTCCATCAGGCATGTGTGTGTGTACACATATGTATGTGTGTGCATGTACATGTGTATATGGATGTGTGTGTATGTGTTAAAGTCTGGTCTGTGTGATGGACATGTTGAATGTGTGTGAGTGTTTGAGGAGCTCACCAAGTCTCCCCACAGCCGACCCCTTTCTCCCCTCCCTGGCATCCTGGACTTCCTTCCCCTAGTGTCCTTTGGGTCAGTGAGAGTCATGGGGGACAGGAGGCAGGTGCTGAACATCTCTGCCTGCCCTTCTGATGCAGTTCTGAGGGTCAAGGGGAAGAGTTGCCTGAGAATGGGGGAAGATGAGTAAAGTAAGGGGGCTAGGAGCAGAGGGGTGAGAATCTGGGGCAGGGCCCGTGTCTGAGCCAGGCAGTGAGTCACGCTGTGCGAGCTTCAGGGGCCACTGATGTGGGACTGGGGACTCAGCTGCCTTGATTACCGCCCAGGTGGCACAGTGACTTGGGAACATGGAGACAAGGCTCCTTAGAGCCCATCCCCCCTTCCGGTGTCACAGTGATGCTTACTGTGGGTTCCATGACAACAAGCTTCTTCCTTCAGAATGATGCAGCTGCCCTTACACTCTTGAACACAATGATGCATACCCATAGGAGCGTCACAGGGAGATTCGTGCAGGGAACTCAGCCACAACATGTGCCCCCAACCCTGTGATCACATACAGGGACTCCCACACATGGGAACTTTCAGTCCATCCACCTCCTCACTGACCAGAAAATCAGGGTCAGAGTTCAGGAGCCAGGCCAGGCTGCAACTACCAGGACCACAAGGGGCCCTAGCCCTGGCTCCTTGGCTGGCTGTCTCCCACCCTTCAAGGAGCCTCTGTTCTACCTTGTCCTGCTTATGCATCCAAAGAGGGAGAGTGTCCAGCTCTACCCTCCTCCTAGGGGGCAGGGCTCAGGCCTCAGGCCAGAATCAACAGGACATTGTGGACCCCTCTAGGTCCCCTCCACTGAGGCAGTGGGGGCAGGGGACAAGCTCAGCTGTACCACAAGGTGTTATATAACTTTGGACCCAGGAAGATGGGGGTGGGGTGTGGGGGCTGGGACTGATGGGAAAGGAGGGCCTGGAGACTTGTCCTCAATCTGGAGGCCTGGGCTGCCTGGTGTAGACATTGCTGTGTTGTCCCAAGTTGTAGTGCCCCTGTGCGTGAACCCACTCACCCGTGCTGTTGCTATTCTTACTGCTTCATGGTGGCAGTAGGGTCAGAGATAGTGGCTGGGTGGGAGGGAGTCATGAGCACTGGCCCCTTATCTGACACGTTCCCTGGAAACTTGGCAGGGGCTGTCAGCCTCTGGGGGCCCAGGCAGGGTGGGGGGTGAGGTGGTCACAGGGACGGGTGAGAGGTTGTGACTTCTGCAGCCAGGTAAGGCCTCATCAGAACTTGCCTGGGGGTTTCCAGTAGGATTTATCCTCCTGTGGTCATCAAGACCCTTGAGTCATTCTCAGCTTACTGTCCAGTCCAACCTAGAATGTTCTATCTCTGAGCTCCTGACATGCCAGAGAACAAGGTGTTGGCTTCCCCAGTGAGGTCATAGGCAGGGACTGCCTCTATGGGGAGAGCCCTGGACTGTGAACCATGGGGGCCCAGTCAGGCCACTGCCCTGCTCTAGCTATGTGACCTTGGGCAAGTCACTTTCCCTCTCTGAGCTTCAGTTTTCTCATCCCTTTCCCAGGCTGTTGTAGGGGTGACAAGGTCC